GGAGCTACCGCGGAACATTTTGGAAAAAAAATAGATCGACGCGCATGATTAAAATCGACGCGCGCGCTGACCAGAGACCGACTTATTTTTTTTTTGGCCTTACAATGGCGACGATCTTTTCGCGTTGTGAAAAATGGAAGTTGTTGGAAACCTTTGGTGTACATCGAATTCTTAAAATATTAACGACATCACGTTCACGAGATTTTTTGTAGATGAAGGTTCATTCTTTCCTTTGATTACCTCAACATTTGGGAAACTTTCGTCGTTGTCGAAAAAAACCCGGAACTTTCATGACCTAATTTTTAGTCGATTTTTCTGTGAAATAATATCGTCAAAATGCATCGAAATCCTTTTTTGGGGGAAAAAATACCTTGATGGATGTATGAAGTAGGTCTTCAACTACATAAAACGAATTTGTTTGTTTGGATCGGTTGTGGTCTGCCATGAAAATTGCAAATTTTCTGAAGCCCTTTTTACGGCCATCTTTCGCTGGCCTCGCGTTGCTGTCCGTTGTGTGGACGAGAAAATAGAGCAGCTACGCGTGACACGGCAACTGATTGCACTGGTCTTGTTTCGTGCCAGCATCCGGGGCGAGACGCGTCCGGGTATAGCCACGCGGGCCTTGACTAAAGGCTAGATCTACGGTGCATCCGCTGAAAAAAAGGGAAACCGGGGTCATTAGGGGGAAGGGCGCCACTAGCGTTGGATAGGTAAAAATCAGATTTTGACGTGATAACTTAGGGGCCGTTCACAATTATCAACATTTTCACAAGTGTACAAAGAGTACACTTTTTCAAGACCCCCCCCCCCCTCCCCCTAAAAGTGTACGAAAAAAATGTTGATTTTTTTTCACACAAGTCTTTATATAGACACTTGCATGTGATTTATAGGGTTTTTGTAACTTTTGTAGATCAAGTTTTTGGCCATGACATGAACCCCTATTCAGTGTGAATGAAGATGTATGTACTACAATTTACCTGTAGAAGTTTCAGCTTCATACAATGTAAGTCGTCATGTTTTTGAGAAAAAAGTGAAAATCACAGAGCAATTTTTTCAACAATTGATCCAAGTCAACAGCGCGGCTAGAATATTTATTGTCCGCCATTGCTAGTGCCGGTGTTGTTCAACCGGTGTAGCGTGAATATCCGACTCCATGAAATGTGGACTCGTTGGTAGTAGTGCGCACGCGTGAGTACGATACTATGCTATTTTTAGGATCGTTTGGGGAGAGTGACCTGTCACGTGCGAGGGATTAACCAATAAAAGGGGAAAAGGGGTCCGATTTTCATAGGAGTCGGATTTCCATGTGACACCGGCTGTTAAAAACTCGCAGTGGATACGGACTTATACATGTACATGTACATGTACATGTACATAAAGTACATTTTCATGTACGTGTGTAATAGTCAGGTGGCTTAGGCCCAATTTTTGACAAGATCGTGACCGACTGGTCCAAAGCACCAAACTTGGCAGATATATTGTTATAGCCTTGGAGAAGATATTTAGAAGGGGTGACACCTGAAATTCTTTGGGAAGGGTGCCTAATTTGCATAAATCATTAATCCCTTCCGTGTAATATACTTACTCCCATATTTGAGTATATTTTTTATTTTTTTATTTTTTGAAAACTATATTTTGGTGATTCCACTTACACATCCTTACTTCACTAACATTTTCTAAAGCATTTAAGACTGACTGAATAATTATGAGGACAAAGTAACGATCCAAAATGGCTACTATTATACCATAAAGTTGCGCGCATTTATCTTGTCTCCAGATATCATCAAGTTGTCTTACCAAACCTTAGTATTGATGAGCTCTAAATTCACCAAGTTGCTTACTGGCACAGTAACTCGATTAAAACTTCATGGAAAATCATGTGAACAATGATACAATTGTGATATTTAGCCCAGAAAACAAAAACGGGGAACTTGATCAAGTCCCTCACGTTAGGCAGGCTTCGTCTAATGTTTAGCCCTATTTACGGACACCTCATTTCCCCTCTCTTTGTTTTTGTGGGCTAAATATCAAGATGATATAATTTTTCACATAATTTCCCATTTATTTTTGTTGGGGTAACTGTGCCAGTAAGTATCTTTGTGAATTTGAAGCTCATCAGTACTGAGGTTTGGCAAGACTACTTGGTGATATAAGAGGGAAAAGGAAATGCGCGCAACTTTAGGGTATAATGGCAGCCATTTTGGATCTTTATCATGTCCTCAAAATCTTCAAGTCTCTGATATGCTTTAGAAAATGTTATTTAAGTAAGGATATGTAAGTAAAATCCCCAAAATATACTTTTCAAAAAATAAAAAAATTAACATCTAACCAAATATGGGAATAAATATATTACACGGCAGGGATTAACGCTTTATGCAAATTAGGCACCCTTCCCAAACGAATTTCAGGTGTCACCCCTTCTAAATATCTTCTCTGGGGCCATAAGAATCTATCTGCCAAGTTTAGTGCTTTGGACCAGTCGGTCACGATTCCAACCGTATGCAACCTGACTATAAGGACAATGCCGCGCATGCTGTACACAATACGTTCATGGGATGCAATGCGGGGCCTGGCGCGGGGCGCGACCGGCTCGGCAACAAGTGCTCGATCGGCATCGGTTGCGGCTGTCGGCTGTGGCGACGGGTGAGAAAACAGATCGACATTAAAAAAAAAAAAAAGCGTTAGGCGGGCATTAACGGGCGAGAAAACATATCGACATTTAAAAAAATTAACAAAAAGCGTACGGCGGCCATTAACCCCCTCCCCCCCCCCCCAGCGTACGGTTTGTACGCTCGTGAAAATGTTGATAATTGTGAACGGCCCCTTATATAGTTGTGTAAAGCCGACTATTTCTTTTTCTTTGGTAAAATCATGCAGACATGTAACACTTTTAAAGCAGTTTATTGTCTGATTAATAGCACCACTCATGTGATTCATGGGGAAATACCTAAAAGTGCTTAGAAATCAACTGTGCAGTGTTATGCTAATGAACTTACTGTTAGTACATATAGGATTCAGAGACGGGGTGGTAATAATGTACAATTTCCCCCCAAATCTTGCCACTTGTCATCATGTGTATTTTTTTTATGGCTTATTCTCTACATGATTTGTTTTAAAAAGGTAAACAATAGATTTTTAAAATTAATTGCTAAATTAATGTTTTAAATTATTAATGATTTCAGTTTTCTTTCTTAAGATATTTGTGTATTTTGTTTTTAGTGTACAGCGCTTGTTATGACCCAGTGACATGTAAACTCGAAACACTTGAAGCTGGTTTCCATATTTGAACTTCATTGTGTGGACGTTTGAAGCAATCGCCGCTAGAGTCCTTATTGGTTACATTGCGTGGTCTCCTCCTCCGTAATAACTACATCGATACTTCTCTAATAAGCATTTTTAAACGAATGCGCCAGATCCTCACAGCCCAGCCGCTAGTGGAGTGCTGTGGCCTCGTGGTTAAGGGCATTGGATTCGTGGTCTGCGGGTGAAGCTGCAGGTTGTGGGTTCGAGTCCTGCCTGGGACATGGTGCATGTGCCCTTGGGCAAGACACTTTGTCACTTATTGCTTCTCTCCACCCAAGCGTAAATGACTACTTGTGTGGGCACTGAGAGATGGTTATTGTGATTGTATTAGCCCCCTAGCGCCGAACAGGCAGCATCGAGCTGTATATCCCCAAGGAGCTGAGACAAGGCCAGATCCAGAACACAATTTTTTTGGGGAGGGGGGGGGGGGCAAAAAAATTTGGTTCCCAAAAGGGGGTGCAAAAAATAACAGCGTAGGGTTCGGGGCCCTATTAACCCTAAAAGGGCCGGGTTATTTTGACCATCTCTCAGCCGGGGGGGGGGGGGGGGGGGTGAATGGTAATTCTGCTCTGTGTACACGACGTACATGTATATAGGAAAATTCAGTTTTCACGCCGGAAAATATTTTGGTATCAAAAGCTGCGCAAGGCTCGAGGCTAAAAAGTCATAACGAAAATTTTTTTCTAAGGCTATCAGGGAAAAAGGTGAGGGGGGCGGATTCCGCCCTGGCCCTTTTAGGGTTAAGGGCCCCGAAATTTGTTTGGATTCTAGATGCTCTGTGGTGCGATCTGAGGCAATTGCTGAGCACTGAGACCATTTTTTTTAAAGAAAAAGAAAAAGAAGGTGGCGTGCGCAGTGCCTGCCTTTATTGCGACGTCACTTAAAAAATGTTTTTTTTTTTGGGGGGGGCACGTTGGTCCCCCCCCCCTCCAGGACCGCTCATACGAGCAGTTTATTTAGATGATTAGCCAACAGTGTGAACTTTATTTCTTTAACAAGGCTACTTTTAGTTGACAAGAAAAGGATAGAAATTCAGTTGATTTTGTTAAATTATGACTGCTAACAGCCTAATATTTATATTGTTCATTGATATATGTGTCTTGTGTGTACCACATTGTTGTCAGATCTGTTATTTATGGGTCCAACAAGGCGAGACGAAGTTTGTACAAGGACCTGCTGAAAAGAAAGACTGACAAGAAAGAAAAAGAGAAGAAAAATACAGAAAGTTCATCAAAATATGCCAAGTGACTCTGCTGTGCTAGCCCAGGTTGGCACTTGGACTCTGTTGTGTATGCAATGAAGACGTCGTCCAACCTGGGCTACTGCTGTGCCATTTTTGTTCAAATTTTTGGAGGAAAGGGGCGAAAATGTCGTGCAAAATGACACAAAGTTCTCCAACAAACTTGATGATAAGCCTATTTATATTTTGATAAATTTGAAAGCATGATGAACATGTTCACTTGCTGCTCATCAAATCAATATTACTTTTGTATCACTTAGTGTGCAAAACCACATAACTTTTTTTCATTTTGTATATCATGCAGATATGTGACATGTAAAAGAGCCTGAAAGTGCGCCATTTTGTTTTTGAACTATACAACTCGCGCGACCCGCCTATTGGAAATTTTATCTTGCAATTCTTCAAGAAAAAAAAAATGGAAATCAGTTGCAGATGGGTAAAAACGAAATTTACTTACGACCATTCACATCCTGCATTTTCGTTCTCCTTTGTTCGATTACGTTTGTTCATAGATAAAGAATAAAAAGACTTTTTTATTCTGTATCTATGCGTTTGTTTTCAAATCGCGTGCTTGCGTGAGAACGAAAATGAAAACGACGCGCAGACGCGCAGATTTACCTACCTACAGCCGATGGCAGTGGCGTAGCCACCGGGGGGACGTGGGGGGCGACCGTCCCCCATGAAACCTTGTCGCCCCCCCCCCCCCAGTCGCCCCCCCCCCCCCCCCCCCCCACTGAGATTTTGAGTTTCTAAAAAAATTATCATTGATCTAAATCTAAATAGTCGCGAATGATCCACATGATGACCACTGAGAAACGACCCTTCGACCGGCGACCGCGGACCAGTAAGCTGCCAACCGGCGTGACATAGCGCATAATGATAATCTAAAATGCGTATTAACACCCACTGCACTGCTCGCTCACACCACAGACACGTATTATAGACAGGTGGTCCGTGGGTCACACAGTTTCAGTCAGCGATATCACGCGAATCGGCCACGCACAAACTTTTTCCTCCATTCATATAAGCTAAATAATAATAATAGACCAATTAAAATTCCTTGAAATCAGTGGCGTAGCCACGGGGGCGTGGGGGGTGGACAGCTTGTCGCCCCCCCCCCCAGTCGCCCCCCCCCCCATTGAGATTTTGAGTTTCTAAAAAAAATATATTTGATCTACATGACGCCATGGGCGTCAATCCTGGGGGGACAGGGGGACTGGTCCTCCCCCCCCCCACTTTTTGAAGGGTGGGGGACACAATATCAAATATCCCCCCCCAGATTTTTGAACTCGTGTCTCATTTACAGGGCCCTATTATGTACTACAATGTATCTTTTGCTTAGAAAATATTGGTTAAAGTGGTCAGAAATTGCCTCAGATAGCACCACAGAGCATTTAGAATCCAAATTTTTTTCGGGGCCTTTAAGCGGGCCCCGAACCCCACGCCTATAGCTCAGAATTCTGGTAGCTGATTCAATGACTCCAAAATCGAAAACAATGTTCAAAAAATTTTCTTATGCCTTTAGCTGAGAAAACCTCGAAAATTATGCTTAAATTAGTATCTTTTGTGCTAAGATAATTATTGGTTAAAGTGGTAAGAAATTGCCTCAGATCACACCACAGAGCATCGAAAATCCATATAGCTCAGAATACCGATAGCTGATTCAATGACTCCAACCTCGAAAACGATGTTCAAATAATTATCTTTTGCTAAGAAAATATTAGTTAAAGCATGGAGGAAAGTGGTAAGAAATTGCTTCAGATCACACCACAGAACATCTAGAATCCAATTTTTTTCGGGGCCCTGAAGCGGGCCCCGAACCCCCACGCCGTAAGGGCTTCGCGCTTCGCGCTCGCATCAGTTCTGATCAAGGTATGCCCCCCCCCCCACTTTTGAGAAGCGATTGACGCCCCTACATGACGCCCCCCCATGAAATGTTCCAGCCCCCCCAGCCCCCCCCCCCCCCCCCCCCCCCCCCACTGAAAAATTCCTGGCTACGCCACTGGCCGATGGGTTCTAGATTTAGTCGGGCTTGCTTGAACTTCAGTTCTTATCATCGGTCAGTTTAGATGTGTTATACGATAATGAGTCCTTCAAGTTTATTTTTAACAAAAGTATGTCCTTAAAAGACATTTTATTCTTCTATTTAAGTTTCAGTTTCTACCCAATGACCGCCACAAATAAATGTCCATCTTCGTACGGCACGAGTACACCGAATTTCACTGGTGCACATGCATGTCTTTTAGATTTCGGAAGTGAGAGGCCAATTTTGGCACGATATTTCTCTTTCACGTCAGGCAATTTTTCACTTTCCATAAATTCAGATGCTAGTAACAATTTTACAAATGCCTTTTCGAGGGTGATTTTCTTAAGAAATAAATGCACCAAAAACAATTGCAAATATTAACGTTAATGTTCATATTGAAAGGGTTCGGAAGCGCGCCACTAGGGGTGAACTTTCAGGCTCCATTGACAGTATGAATGAGCTGACTGTAACTGTAAAAATGACTCAAGGGGTGGTAATATGAACAATACAATGTATATACATTCTTTCAAATCTTTCCACTTTTTATCATGTAGACATTGTTTATGGCTTACTTACATTTTTTAAACAGTATTTAAAAGTATTTAAACAGGGGGTCATAAAGGGGGTCATACAGTCTATTCATGTTACGAGCAATGGGTTCTTCTTCAAAACTGATTGTATTCATAATTAATTTTAAAAATAAAATAATTACTTGGTGTTTCTAATTTGTTATTGACTGTCTGATGTAGCAGTGATGAGTACATTGCATTACTGCAATAGTAAAGGAATTGACAGACACTCACAGGGAACACGTCTTCAGTAATTGAGAAAAGTTTCATTTTCCCCCTTTTTTCAGATACTTGTTTACCTAAGTTCATTCAATTGTTCAAGTTTTACTTTATCATTCTAAAACATCATGACTACTTTGGAGATCTTGTGACGAAAACAAAGATATGATTTCTCTTCGTATACATCCCTCCCATATTGTCCACTGATAGTGGATGGATACAATATGAAACCTGCCTATTAAAACCACTATCATCAGCAATTGAATGTAGTTTCCGCGTGTGAACAACGTACTTCAGGAAAGTTGTGGACTCTTGAAGCAATCACCGCTTGAGTCCTTAATTGGCTTACCCTGCCTCCACCACTCAATAAATAATAATTGTAATCTCTGATTTGATAAATATTGCAAAAACAAATCTCGACATGTTACTGTTTTTACTGACATGTCTTTTTTATCCCCTTTTATTGATTTATTTATTAATTCATTTATTCCTTTTATTCGTCTCTTCATTTCTTCATTTCGTCCTTTTTACATTTTTTTCTTCAATGAAAAACTTTGATTCCGTTCTCCTTAGGGGCCATTCAGAATTTTCAATGTTTTAAATTTCGATCTTTTTCCAAATTGTGGGTGGGTGGGTCAAGCTAAATAATTGAAAATCGAAATTCACTTTCCATGGAAAAAAAAGATAAAAAAAACAAAGAAAGATAGATCTTTTGACTTGCCTGAACTACGCGCAAACGTTCCGATATCGCGATGCGTGTTTCTTTTCCAACTTCGTCCCCTGTATGTACTGTCAGTGGCGTAGCCAGGAATTTTTCAGTGGGGGCGCTGGGGGGGGGGGGGGGGGGGGGGCTGGAACATTTCATGGGGAGGGGGGCGTCATGTAGATCAATGATAATTTTTTTAGAAACTCAAAATCTCAGTGGGGGAGGCGACGGGGGGGGGGGGCGACATGGTTTCATGGGGGGGGGGGGGGCTGTCGCCCCCCACGGCCCCCCCCCCCTGGCTACGCCACTGCAGGTCATACAGTTAAAGTTTATGTAAACTTGTATGAAAAGTCAAAGAAAAGTAATCTATTTGACACCAAGTTTGTGTTAACTTGCCGGTAACTCCCTAAAAAATTATCCAGACAAATATGTTTATTTTGTAACATTTTATGTTCGTCTGTCGGTCTTCTATGCTGTTATGTTTACTTTTAGGTACCTTCAATGGTACTATGTTTAATTAACCTGTTCATTTGTTTAATTAAACTAATAACGCACATATAGTTGCCAAATATGGCACTAACAAGTTTGAGGTCGGCAATTTCGTCTTTAAAAATCTGGATACGTCGGGTTACCGTACACACAATTGTCCTGGAAACAACAGTACCAAAGTACAGAAAGTCGTACGCAAGAGCTCCCCAGCAAGTATCGCTGACGCCATTATGATTCCAAAATTTCTCACTGTGTCACACATTGAAATAACTAAACAGCGTCGTTGTATTGTGAACACATAAAAGCATTCAAGTCGCGTTCTTGCACACTTTCTGCAAGTCGACATAGATATCCTTGAACCACTGCCCCTGCTTTGCATAACAAGTGCACATGAATGAACGATTCGACTTTTATTCAAAGAAATTTCTATGTACAGTCACCAGACTCTATTCAGTAAAGTCCCCGTCAAAACGAAAGTAAACAATAACGTGCATAACGCACGGCTACACCATCATACAGTGTGGCAGGGACACCAACAAGTAACACAACAACTATAATTTTTGAAAAAAATTGATAAATATTCTGATTGAATTTCGTTAAAAGATACTTGTTGGTGAGGTATCACATATTTTATCACATAAAAGAGGAAGACCGACAACTTCACGCCGTCACTGAACTAGACACACATGTACATGGTGTTCAAGTACATGTACATGTACATGCAAGTGCATGTACATGTACATGTACATGTTCAGTTTTTTTATTAATCGAAATTAGGGGTGGGTCGGTGGGTCAAAATAATTTGGAAAAAAAAGTCGAAATTTTAAAACATTGAACATTCTGAATGGCCCCTTAGCCTCACCCGCGTTTACCTACCCAATGCTTGGGGTGCACTCCTCTTAGTGTCCCATCTTTCCAATTATGATCTTTGTATACAGTCATATCGGGTGGGGATCAAGTCGAACCCAAACCAACTCGGACTCAGACCAACTCGACCCAGACCAACTTGGACCCAGACTAACTTGGTCTCGGACCAACTCGGACCCAATCTTTACCAACTCGGGCCCAATCACGTTGATGTAATGAGAATTTTGCTGTTTTTCAGTAGTGAGGCCTACTCAATTAATGTTGATAAAACGTCAGTTTACGTAGTCTAAATTACTTCTTTGTTTTGTCCCTTTGTTTTTCGGGCCGCGAAGCTTCATTCTGTAGGCCTATTATACTTTAATAATAAATATCTGAGTGAAATTTTGCCGTGGATGTTTCGTGAATTTGTGAAAACAAACGTTCATTCATTCATTCATTCATTTCGGTTTATTGTTTAAAAAAAAAAATGGTGACAAAAGAAAAAGTCCAAGGACTAAAAATATTTGGTTTACAGTAAAAATTAATATTTACAATGATTGCTAAGCATTACATACATGTAAACAGTAAAGCTTGAACAGATAAAAAAAACAATAACAGTGACTCACATTACAGATAAAATTTGAGTAATTAAAATAGAATAAGATAGGAAGAACAATTACATGTATATGAACACCTAAAAACCACAACTACTGAGAATTAATTAATCTGATCATAGTGGGAACAGGAGATTGTTTATATCTTTGAGTATTGATACGAGGCATGGTAAGGTGGTTGAAGTTCCTGAGATTTCGTTTGGTGAGAGAGAGTCTTGGGTTGGGAAGCATGTGACGCTGTTAGGAAGCATGTGACGTTTTGTACGATGTCAGGTCGCGTTGTTCTTAGTTTGGCTTTTGTTGGTCTGGTTTTATTTTAATACTTAGGAGAGCTAGGGCAGAACGAATATGTAAAATGTTTGGTGCTATAAGAAGTTTCTGGTTTTTCAAGCCTAAAGGGCTTTTGAGGACAGCCGTGATCTTTAATTATTATTCCAGTCATTCAAAGTTTGTCACGCCAACTTTGCGGGTGACGCGCGGCGGCGGCCGCGCCGGGAGTGGCTCCGTATGAACGGGGTCTACCCGATGTTCCCTAATACATATGTTCCCCAATACCTGTTCCCCAATATCCTTAGGATTAGGGTTAGGGTTAGTGTTAGGGTAAGATGGTTAGGGTTAGGGTTAGGGTGGGGAACATAGGTATTGGGGAACATAGGTATGCACCCGTATGAACCGAGCCCACGGATCATGCAGTCGGCATCCTTAAGAAGGTCAAATAATAACGATCAGGTCTATAAACCGTTAAAAGTGAATCCATTATTAAAATTCCTAATTAGACCCTTACGGCTTTTTGAGGGACAGCCTGACTGTGAGACTCTTTTCAGCAGCGTTGCAATCATTGTCGAATATTGACTTTACTTTCACCTTTTGTTATTGTATAGGCCTAGCTGTTCATGTTGTTTTATTTGCGTACTGCATGTACTCTTTTAATATGTTTTTCAATATTTTTCAATGTTGTCTTTGTTGAATAGAAATCTAAACCAGGATTTTTTTGGCTAAGACTGAGCCCGTGTGTTGTTATTGTGAAGAATGTTTATTGTTTTTATCTATATTTTGATAAGTTACTTGAACACAACTTGTTTTAAAAACATCAGCAGACTTTAAAACATACTTCACTGAAATAAGATTGGGTCTGAGCATGGTCATTATGGATCCGAGTTGGTCTGGGTCCGAGTTGGTCTGGGTCCGAGTGGCTCAAAACTGCTAAGTGAGAGGCCCTGAATGGGCATATATATTTTTACTTCAACGTGTTTTTTTCCAAAACTGTTGCTATTGCCTTGAAAAAAAAAAAGGATTAGTTCATTACTAGTCGGATGCCAGCAAGTCTTTCATGCATGTCGCTATTTACCAGTGTATAGCATAATATTGTTCGTATTTTTGGTAACAATGGTAAAATGCGTGGGAGGGTATTACAGTTTCGAGCCAACTCTGACCCAAACTAACTCGAGGTTTGAGGTCTTCCCAAAAAGTTAAGAGTACAAGCAAAAGAGGGACATATATGGTCCACGATTGCAAGTAAATACACACTTGTGTGGGTTGGGTTGGATTGAGTTGGGTCGGGTTTCGGGTCGGGTCGGGTCGGGTTGGGCCGGGTTTGGTTGGGTTGGTGTGGTGTGGTGTGGTGTGGTTTGTTTGGTAAGGTTTCGTTTGGTATTACTGGAATTATGACTTCATAATATGATCAAATACACACACATAATCACACAAGATACATGTACCAGGAACAGCCCATGATAGAAAGTTTCACAACTTATTTCCGATGGGACTCCTTTAAATTGCGCAAATTTACTTTTACAAAGTTCACTTCTTTATACCAATATGCATGAAAGGACTTGCTGTCGTGAATTATTATTTTATTTTAAAGGCAACAGCACCACGGTTGAGTTTGAAAAATAACACTTTGGTGTAAAATTATACCCCTTTAGGGCCTCTCGCTTAACTAGTAATACCACGCTATATAGTATTCAGGCATTGCGATATGCATGAAGGAATTGACGGACAATGAATGCCATCGATCCCCTTCACTGAAACTTGCTTCAATACAAACAACTCGGCTGATTGATCAGGCTGTTGAGCAACTAAATTACCATGAGATGTATGGGTGTAGACGGTGTGTGTGGTTAACAGGTAAGGCTTGCACTGCGTGACATGTAGGCCATGTACCATGACTTGTACCGAACAATATCCGAGTATTTCCGCAAGTTGGTGGACTCACAAGGCAGTTGACTATCGCCTGTAAAAGTAAGTTGTTCGATCGTCTCTGGCCGAAATTATTAACAGAAATTAATGTATCTGAAATACAATTACGGTGGAATAGGTAGGTTGGTGTAATTTGTGTACTATGAGCTTGGGACTGAGATAAAAACATCAAGGGACTGGAGTTATGTCCAAGTTGCAACACTAACCTTTTAAACTAAGGTAACTCGAGCTCACGAAAATGTCAGATTCTTCTAACAAAAAATTCAACATGCGCAAAGAAGGAGCGAAATATGAGAATTTCGAAAGTACTGAGGAATTCCAAACTTACCCTTTGCTTTATTTGGCTAAAACCTGACAGATAAGCCTACAGTGCAATAACCAATATAGCATTGATTTCTTTTGAAGGAACCGCATTAGCCTATAGCAACTTAATTAACATCTGTCATGGGACGTGTCGTCCAAGATGTGAGTAGGGACTCGGATGGGAAGCTTAGCTAGTACCACCGGCCGGCTTGTGCCGGCCGACTCAAAACCCAGGCTATGCTTCGGCGTTCAAGCAAGCTGCTAGAATTGATTCAAACAATTCAGTGTTCACAATTGTCATTACATTTTGATGCTGTTTGAACACTGTTTCTTTTTATCTTTATATGTGAACTTGTAAAAATAGTACTAATAATTATTGATCAGTTTGTAATCAATGAAATGTTTCTTATGTGAGTTATACCATGCATATCTTATTGCCACATTTTATTATTTTTTACAGGTAATTTCAACAAGGGCGTCGGAACTGAAAGTTAAAACTTGACATCATGGTTGAAAACGTCATCCTCGGACTGAAGTATGCTGTGAGCGTGTGCTCTACCTTGGCCATACTAGGCAACCTACTGATGATTGCGGCTCTGGTGTGGACCACAAAGCTTCGCATCAAGTACTTCCAACTCGTCTTCAACATGGCTCTGGCTGACATGTTCTTCGCAGCCTTTTCTACAGCATTTCCATGGACTGAATACCACATCATCTACTCCTTATTTATGACCGGCTACGTGGTATCTGTATTGATGAGTTTGGCGATTGGCGTCAACCGTTACTTGGCGTTTTCTCTTAGCTCACCGTCCCGCTATGACTCGCTGTTCACGGGCCGTCGCCTGCTCATCCTCATCTTGCTGATCTGGTGTTTGTCGATCCTCCTCAACCTTCTGCCGATCGTTACAGCCTCAGAAGGAGTCACAATTTGGATTTACGGACTGTTAAGACCATTGACTGTTTTCATATCTTGGTTAGTCCTGGCGGTACTATACGGTGTCTTGTTTTATAAAGTCAGGAAGAATACTCGTGCTTCGGTAGTTCCACGACCTAGTACGGATACAAACTTCGATAATTCACCCACTGATACTCTTCATACTCAGATCCGCTGGTTGCTGGCCACATTCATCGTCATTCCAGTGGCATCATTTGTCTTCTGGATGCCATACAGTGTGGTCAGGATAACTGCATTTGTTGATCCGAATCATTTCTTCGCTCATAATTTGGACGTTGCTTATTGGTTCAGTGGTTCTTTGTACTGTATTGCCGCCGCGATCAACCCGCTGATTTACTGGGGTCGGTTGAACGGACTAGGCCAAGGCGTTTACACACGTTTGGAGGGTGATGGAGAATTGGACCCTGAGATTGAAAATGCACAACCGGCCATAAACACGTTGATTTAAATTCTTTGGGGTTATAACCAATCTAGGTAAAGACCTAAAGCTACCGTTTCTATCACGGAGGCCCCCTTCAATGGTGAAAGCATTGTGCTACTGCTAGCTTTTGTTCTGCTTATCCGTCACGGGACAGGTGCTTTGTACAATAGCATGCACAATGGTTTCTCCATTGAAAGGGGCCTCGTGAGTGTACAGTGGTCACGTGCCCGAATTCGTCTATAGCAATGAAACAAAATATGTTTGGAAAGAGCGGAGTGCTTTCATAATCTTGAAGAGGAAACGAAACAAGCTCCCGGATTACAATGTTTAAACATCAGCGGGATCTCTAACATTTAAACACTTATAGTGGGTCTCTAAAACTGAAAAGTCATAGTTTGCCAAATCGAGATGCTAATTACTTTCATGTATACTAGAATTTCCCGAGTGTTGCCATGTTGGTATAAATTAGAAGTCATCAGTAAAACCTTTACTCTTTAACGCTTAGTTACGCATTAAAATAAATTACAATTGTCTTCTTTCGTAGTTATACAAAGTATAATTTCCCCGTACCTTTTGGTGTTGGTATAGTTACTTTTGTCTTGAAGTATTTTTGAACAGTTCTACATAAGAGTGTATCAAAGAAAAGGTAATAAAAAATAATAGGTTAATTTGTAAAATTTATGAACTTGAACACTGTCCAAGTGTTTCCATCTTCATTATAGCTTCATTTATCTCTTCAGTCATGGATGACCGAGCACCATTGCTTTCAAAACAAAGGCCAACCAATGGCTGTTTGCCAGTTTGCGGAATAAGTAACGAGTTAAGCTGTCGGAATCAAGCTTAAAGGGAAGATACAACATTTGCATACATCAAAAAACGAAATGATCAAATTATCACAAAATACCTTACTGGATTGTTAGGGAATGACAGTCTAAAGCATCCTGTAAAATCGTGAGTCCTGGTGTGCTGACATTTTCAAAAAAAATGTATTTTTCCAACGCTGGTCGGCCGACCAGCGTTGGAGAAAACTGGCTCATTTTCAAAAACTGCTCCTAAGTTTTCACATTTAGTTATTCCGCATTTTCTTTGCAATTGATTACACATTGTGAAGAGGTACAAGCCTGCTAGACTAATTCTCTGACCTTACAATTCCCCAAAGTCTATTAATTAATCCATTTCATCTTAAGTGGGGTCAGGGAACCGGACTACAAGGACGGGATTGGTTTTCTTGGTTTTTCATGCATCTACGAGCCCAAAACGTGAAACAAATCAGTTTAACAATATTTCCTATAACATTCTAATCCTTCAAATCCATTTTTTTCCTGAAAACTGCAGCAAAAGCAAATGCTGTACATTCCCTTTAACTAAGTAAAAAGTATTTGAAAGCTATTCAACTTTGCATCACCTGCCTTTTCTAATCAGTGTCATATCCGGATTGTGTGGGGAAGAATTGGGGAAAAAACATACTGACCCATAAAACAAATGTTGGTCGCTGTCTGGGGTGGACCTTGCTTTGCATGACCCACGATTGTGAGACTCGTCACGATTGTATCGTCTGGGAACCAGAGCACCGTAGATACAGTCTGTGTTCTCAGCAGTATAGTGCCAGGAAAGTACAATGCTCCTAAACTTCAACTAGTTGTTACGAGGTGCGATTTGAAGTTGCTAGTGGCACCACACTAAAATCTTGGCGAAAACGGAACGATTTGTGTACATTCTGTGGTAGGTACACTGAAAAATTGCCTGGGTTAATTTTACCAAAGAAAGGGTGAAAACTGGATATACCCAAACTTGGATTGTTCTATAACCAATTGTTTGGGTTAGAATTTCTGCTAAATTCAACCAAAACTTGTGGTCCATGATCCAAGACCAAATTTAATTTGGTCTTGTATGACTACAACTTTTGGTTGAATTTAACATAAATTCAATAGCACAACTTTTTTCGGAGTTATTCCGCACTACTTCACCTCGTATCGTGTTTTATTCTCTCTTCTTTTTATATAATAGTCTGCCAATGTCTTATATGATTCGTATCATCTGCACTTTGAGTTTTTTTACGGCTTTATCTCCCATACCTGTGGACATTTTCCTTCTCAGTTTTCCTATCGCTTCCACAGTTAAATTTCTGGTTATTTATACAATTTGTTTTCACTGCTGATTTGAAGTTGCATATCCATCAGGAAATTTCACGAAGTTTGACCTCGGCTTGAAGTAAACAGACGACTGCGTGTAAAAAGCACGGTTAGCATAACAATGGAGAATTTAGTTTCCGTAAGAGCGTGTCTACGATGCGACCCATTGTGATTCTATTATCCACAGTAGGCATAGTTCTTCGTTTTGTGTATAATAAGTCCTTGAAGCCTATAGTTAGTAAAGAGGATCAAAGAACCTGGATAAATAAAAAGAAATACCGAAGACATGATCGAAGTTGATTTAAAGCCTGCTGCTTCCAAATTCCCCCTTTGAAATAAGGACGTGTGTCCTTGCCCGAGGATAGTGGGATGGGAACATCTCATGGCACTGTAATAAGCTTGATGTGAATGATAAAAGGGACCCGAGGTCTCATCAAGATAGGTCTTCATTTGCCCTATACATGTATTCGGTACATTTGGGATCTTGCACCCAATGCGCTCTTTAAATGTCGCCATCCGTTGAGAAACGATTCTGCACTTACAAGGCATCGCAAGGACGTAGGCCTACTAAAAAAAAGGAACGCGGTTCGAATGTCTGAGAGCCAACACGAACACTCCCTAGTTGAGGTAAACAGAGACGGCGAACGAGGCTGATACCTTGTGTTTTTTTTTGTGTTTTTTTTACATCATAGACCTTAGGCCTATGCTTAGTGGCCATTTGAGAGTTTATTAGCATTTTGTTGTTATTTTAGTTCAGTAACAAAGAATGCACTAAAGGTTCACTATGCATATCCCATCAAAACAAAGACATTGTCCTCTAATATGGCTGCTACACATACAGTCTATTGGTGAAACATGTACTCGGTCGGGAGAAGCAGAAAAGTGGTATTTCTTAAAAAGTGAGATATTGCTTCCAGTTGTTTCATTTGCAAATTTGTTTCATTCTTCGTCGGGGTACCATACTGTCCTATATGTTTTCCCCATGTTCCTTGACGTTGCGTTGAACCAAGATGAGCCGTTATTGTAACCAATATAGAAATCCCTGACTCCCTGAGACGTGTCATAAGGAAATGGGATTGAAAACAATCCAGCACACCTTCAATGCGCGATGTGAATAAAGTTCTAAACAAAACGGTTTTTCCTCATTTTAAATAATATTCCAAAATTAGGTATGAACTGCGTGTAAAAGGTGAAAATACTTCCATTCATTTTAAAAGCACCGTTTCCTTTCCAATCTGGACTACAGCGCATCTGCTACCCTTTGCCGCATTCACGTTTGGGCGTTGTCATCATCTGCATGATGGCATTCCTATAGTTCGTTGTGCAGAAGCAACAGCTGAAATGGGGGTTTGATGGCGACGAAAATCTCCTAATAACAGTATATTCCGGACGCTGGATATTCTAAAAACGTAAAGTGTTCATGGTTGAAATTTAAGTACATATTTTCCTGTGCTTTGAATTCCTGGAAATTACACTGCTTATACCTATCGTTTTTTTTCTTTTCTTTAGGATCGGGCTTTTGCTTTGGTGCTGTTTATTCTTTATTCCTTTCTTAATTTTTCTTCTTTGCGTGGTCATGTTGACATGAAGACATCATGATAAGAATGTCTTTGTCAGTATAAGCTGGGGGTAACCTACGGCCCAACCACAGTTGAACGATTGGGTGAGGGATATATATATCCTTTACCCTCGGATTTATGCAGCTAGGGTTACTTATTATGTGGTTAACTAGGGTTAGGTATAGGGTTGGGGTTAGTCCGTAGACCCTTTCATGCATGACAGCCAATTTCGGGTCATAGTGACTTCCTCCCGAAGAGACAAGAATGAATGGATTTTTTTTAGGCATTTACTGTTATGATTAACATAACAAAACACACCCTTGAAAAAATAGGGTGCGTAGGGTCAACAAATTATGTGAAAACCCCAGGGTTTAGGTCTATAAGTGGAGGGAACGATTGTACCCAAGTACAAAATGTATTATCAAAGCATTATCCATGACCCTTCCAATCCAAAAGAGGCATCACCGCACAAATGTTGTTCCAAAAACGTATTGTCTAGTTTTATTGACCATCAGATATAACTTCAGGAAAACAATAACATGTTACTGATTTTATCTTTGTGTTGGGTTGGGGGAAGAGTGGTACGTGCGGGAGTGCACCATGTCCCTTGAGCCGTAGCCCTACATAGAAAATTGATATTTTTGTATGAAAGCGTGTAGTCTTTTAGGTATGAACGGAAAATGTAACACATTATTATGCATATACATTATAGTTGACCTTTTACCCCCAAAACCAACTTTTTATACATAAACAATTTATAAAGATTTCACTTTTATCATTATTGACAAACTAGCCTTAAATTTGAATAAAGAACCCATTGTTTTGTTTAAAAAGTATTAGTATTAATAATATCTTTTACAATATATCTAAATATCAATCATTAAAAACTATTTAAATTAGGCAATGTACATTTTTTTTTATTGACTAGAAAAAAAATCCCGAAAAACCGACAAGAACAAAACAAGATAAGGTTTCTAGAAAACTTTAAGAAATTCCAACGAGGCCGTGTTGCTAGGGTAGCAGTGATTAATTTCTTAAGATGTTTAGGCTACTGTCCGTGTTTTCAACAAATTCATTTTTTCCCTTTAACGAAAAAGAACCACACTTCCTTTCAACTTTGGGACTGAAATACTCTGAAAAGGAGTCATTATCAATGCTCAGATAAGATTTGAAGGTTTGCATGGTGAAGGTATCAATAAAATAGAGATTTACGGTAGCACCGTGTGACAAATCTTTTTTATGAGTTTGTGAGGTTCTGAAAAGAACCGGGGAAACCCAACGTTTTGGACAGTATGCTCTGCCTGTCGTCAAGAGACTAAAGGGATTCCAACGGTGAAGGATGGTTATAGTGTGAAATGCTTCACTGATCAGTCATCATCCTCTGCTCAACTGCTGCATCCTTCACACGCCTCTCTACTTCAAGTCACACTTCATAACCTCCTTCACCGTTCGAATCTCTTCTGTCTCCTGATGACGGGCAGAGCATACTGTCCGAAACGTTGACGTTTCCCAGTTCTTTTCAGAACCTCACCAACTCATAAAAGAGATTTGTCACATGGTGCCACTGTATAAGTCTCTATCTTATGATTCTGATAGGGAGGTCACAGATGGGACCCAGTCTAAACCTAGGACAGCTGAATTGTTGTCGCTCGGCAAACTATTCCAAATTTGCAAAGTGGTCGAGGTCTCATTCTAAAGTGAATGAACGTTAAATTGCTAGAACACTATCAAGTTCAGGGAAAAAAACACAATTCTGGATGAAACTCGAATTAAGCACAGACAGTATATCCTTGATTATTTAGCACTGGCCCTGTAAAACATAATTGCGAAAGAATACAATATACAAATTGTTTGTAAGTACAATTAAGCGAATATAAAGGGGAAATATGGAATATTCTATAGATTAAGGTATCATATTTAAAACAAGTAGAATCATATCTAATGTAAATGTGTTACAAATCTGGGAAGTATCGATACAAAACATCATTTTAATAAGGGAGTATAAATATTGGAATTCTAACTAAAATAAATCGAATTAAATTTACAGAAACATACAAATATAGCTATTGCCCGCAGTTAACCATTTTACAGAAATGATGGTACACTGGTATAATGTTATATTTATAAAACAATAATAATGTAATAATAATAATACATGTAATAATGATAATAAAAACAACGCCAAAAGGACTTAAAACCATCACCAAATTTACAGAGCCACGCCGATCACATAACGTCATATTATTATGGTGCGATACATTCAGTCGAAATCGAAGTAGCCTACTATACAAGTCACATCACCTATTAAAAAAATAGTCAGTTTATGAAAGATACGCTCTGCCCAACACAACTTTCCATGTCATTATTCTTAATCGTCTTATTAATTACGTGACAACGCTATAAATGTGAAAATGTGGACATTTACAAAGTCAACACTAGGTAATTATAACTGCGGTTTTTCATTCAGAACCACAGAAAAAGGCTTCTCTGTATGTTCAACATGTACATGTTTGAGAAAATGAATGAACGAAGAACATGAATATTCGTTATAACATTATGATACAATCACAGTTTCATTATCTTTACGATGTTTTTGAGAAAACATTGGGTGTATTGTGGTCCATTCCCTTCGCGATTCGAGTCAGCCAATGTTTATTATCTTAATCAAACTACACTGCATCTGCCACCGTTTGCTCGAATTCAGTTTTGTCATTGTCATCTGCATAATTGCGTTCACTCTGTTTGCTGCAGCAGCAGCAGAAGAGAGCGTTGAAGGACTCTCTAAACCCATCCAGTTTACCCCAGTAAATCACAGGATTGATCATGGCAGAGAGGCAGTACAGCAAGCCAGCAAACCAATAAGCCACGTCGAACTTGGTCGAGAAAAATTGGCTGGGATCGAAAAAGGAAATGAACCGGACAATACTGTACGGCATCCAGCAAACGAAAGAAACAAGAAGGATGATGATGAAAGTAATAAGCACCTTGCGAGTCTGGCTAACACGAACTGTTATCTGCCCGGAATCTGGCTCAGTTTTAGCATCGGCGCTGGAGGGAGTAAAGCGCGCGATTTTACGGTACACGACGAAATACAGAATTGCTGTGATGAGCCAGATTACGAATACGGTCATGGGTCTGATGAGACCGTATATCCAGAAAGTGACCAAGTCATCGTTAGCCATGACCGAAATTAGATTGAGAATCAGTGAGACAGCCCAAATGATGACACAGGCCACAAAAAGACGCCCGCCTGTCACCAGAGAATCGTAGCGAGAAGGTGGCATTAGAGATACAGCCAGAAGGCGGTTGATAGCCACGGCCAGGATAGTCAACACAGACACGACATAGCAAGACATGAACAGTGCAAAAATGGCATGGTGCTCATACCATGGAAACACGATAGCAAGAGCTGCAAAGAGCAGGTCACCTAAAGCTAGGTTTACGACAAAGCCATAGTGCTTGACTCGGAGTTTCCTAGTTCCTATAATCACAAAAATGACCAGGAGATTCTCAAGTACAGCTACGCCAGAGCTGATACTCACGGCATACCTCAACCCCAGCAGGATCCTTGCCGCTGTCTCAGATGTCTCGTATAGATCCGGATCGTATGGATCATAGTCATCGTTGGGCATGGTAGCGTTCGATTCTGCAGCCATGGTTTTCACAATGAAGTACGCACTTCAAGTAAAACACAGATAACCAAGACAATTAAGTTTTTGCCATACATATTAAAAGAGAACCCCAAAAAGTTCAAGTCTATAATAAAGTACTTGTTTTCGATTGCTTCGTATAACTTCTATTTTCTCTACCACAATATTACGCTGTCTACGTTTAAGTATCATATTCGGCAACCAGTAAGCTTTACCTGTTGCAATCGATGACTGACGATTTGTCCTTCTTCTTTCCTATTTGCCTTTGTTTTCCTAGAAAGAAAAAACGTGAATTTTTTTTAGGCTGATGTCTTTGGCGCAAAAAGGTTTCTGTGAACAATGTTTTTTATTTTTAGTTCTGGCCAAACTTACTTTACTCTTGACGAAGTCTGTCGGCTATAAATTATGTGGCTGATGTAGCTGCAGAAGCTGTCAAACTTTATTTGCGTCCGTGTGGCGGTATTGCCTCGGTGTCCACCTTACGAAAGATCGATCAGTCTGAACTGCCAACGACTGAAGCATTGATCCTACTAAACTCTTGCAACAAAGAATCTTGGGGCAATAAAAATTTCTCTTTCAACCACCAGCTAGTTTCTCTTTTAACTACTAGCTAGTCCCCAGCCCAGCCGAGGTCACTTCATGCTCTTCCAACCGTAATCCATTCAGACACATACCAGTGGCGTATCCAGGATTCAGGTGGGTGAGGGGGGGGGGGGGAATCATTCAATGGTAGTCGCTAATGTTTGATAGTGGATCGCCGCCTCACGCCAGGGTGAGCGCGGCACGCTGTTTGTTCCGCAGTAGTGCGCCCTCACAAGACATATTTCGAACGGCTCGGACTTCGCTCGTACCCCCTCTGAAATACAGAACGGTTATTTTCTCCGGACCATTAGGCCTCCCAAAATCAATAGGGGGGGGGGGGGGGTTGCTCGTGCCATTTTTTTTTTGGGGGGGGGGCTGGACACATTTCTTTTTTAAGGGGGGGCTAAAGCCCCCTAGGCCCCCCCCCCCCGTAGAACCGCCACTGCACCTTCTTAATACTTGCAATAATGATCGGAATTTTCAACCTTTCCTTAAGCAGCGGACAGAGAACGTCAACGTCTTGGACATCACTAAGTGTTGTGCCCCACATGGGAGCGCTATAATGTTTTCTTTCATAGCGACATAATCATTGCCACAATTCTGATATATATTTTTTCCTACATTTAGCAAATTCATATATACAGCAGTGATGTAGTGCCTTGATGCTGGGCCTTGGCCTTAAGGCTGCCTTAAGGCTGGATTTTAGGGCCTTGGCCTTGGCCTCAAGGCTTGAGGGCAAAAGCCTTGGCCTTGGCCTTGAGGGTTCAGGGCCTTGCAATTTTGAGTCAAGGCTCTTCAAGGCCCATAAATTTTTGCATTTTCCAGATAAATCTGTTCGAAATTTTGCTGTTACCATTTTAATCGAATTACCATGGAGGAGGGAAGCACCCTATCGATTTGGGTATTGGGCACACTTCCACTTTTGTAGCATCACATGTTGTTACATTGTAGTAGATTTGCTGCAACAATATTCTGTACACTTGTGGGGCTAATGAGAGGATCACTTTAATTGCATATAACTATGGAATAGATCTGATTGGTTGTATATTATGTCTCCCTGATAAGTGCTAAAGATTTGCATGTATCTGGTTTAGATAATGCTGATATTTCTGACCATGTTGGGCCAGCAAATAAAAATTTCCCAAATCAGTTTCTTGGATCCCCCTTTTGTTACACTTGGGAGAATTGTGTGTCAATATAGAAGTAAATCATTATTTTGTTTAGTTAAACCATATTGAAGACCTGAACTTATGCTTTAATAGATACAGTGCAGTCATAAAACGGTGTAGGCCTATGCGAGCATGTTGATTGCAATTAAAGAAATGTTGTTCTTCGTAACGAGCAATTCGTGATGATAAGGGCGGATCCAGGGGGGCCAAAAGGGGCCATGCCCCCCCCCCCCTCCCCCCCAAAAAAAACCGAAACAATTTTTTTTTATGTGACGTCGTAATAAAGGCGGGCAATGAGTACACCACCATCTTTTCCTCAAAAAACATCGGTTAAAATGGTCAGAAATTGCCTCAAATCGCACCACAGAGCATCTCGAATCCAAATTTTTTTTCGGGGCCCTTAAGCGGGCCCCGAAGCCCAAGCCGTAATTTTTTGACCCACTTTTTTTGGGGGAACCAAAATTTCTCTGCCCCCCCCCCCAAATTGTGTTCTGGATCCGCCCTTGCATGATAATGTGTCACTCATGTGACTATAATTAGTTCTATATCAGTGGTCATTTCATAAAACAGGGCCTTGGCCTTGGCCTTGAGGGTTAAGCCTTGGCCTTGGCCTCGAGGCTTGAGGGTCAAAGCCTTGGCCTTGAGGGTCAAAGCCTTTGCTCCAACACTGATATACAGTCACCAATTAATTAGCCGTATAAATAGACTGCCCCATCGTAGCTTCATATTTTCAAACGACTATTCTTTTGAAGGCAAAACAAAGAAAATAAAGTGTTCATTTTAGTTATTAGTCTTGACTATACGTTTTCTTTGTAAACACGTCACGGCTTTAAAGAGATCAAATTGCACAACATTTAAGCTGTTTTTTATAAACACAATATAAAACGCATGTATGACAATGAACTAAATAAAAATTATAATTTGTAAAAAAAAATATATATATACAAATAATGGCAGTTAATTCTGGATAACAAAAATACTTTACTTTACCCTCTGTCAGAAGAAAAGGTTCAAACAACTTTTACCAATAAATTTACTGTTTCAGTCAGTGTTTAACTCAGACACATGGGACTGTGTGAATAGCGCCCTCAATGTTCAATCTTGTTTAGCTTACTCACGTTACTTACTACACGTCATTGACGTTCTGACCGATTTAGTGAAAATTGTCGCTAAAAACCTACCGATAGAAGTTTCCTGATAACTGTTTTATGCCAGAAAGTTGTTAACAAGAGTTCTGCTATAAAAATTGAATAGCAAAACAACTAAGAAAACAAAATACAGAAGCCAGTTAACCGATTTGTTGTGTTTCTTGACAGTAAAAAACAACAACTAAATTTCTACCTGCTAACCTGGAACCTAAAAAGAAGTGCAACACACGTCACGATTGCCGATAAAAGATGCAGTGAAAGAGCTGGAGAAAAAAACGGAGAAACGTGAAAGCAGCACTGATTCGGAAGGAGACGCTCTACAGCTGCTGATTGATGGATCTGCGGTCAGTGTCGGAGATAAATGATCAGATGTGTAACTTTCAACTTACCTTTGATGACCTCATGCAGAAAAATGAGAACTATACTGAATAGATTGATGAAGATGATGAGTTTGGCGTCTGAACGTCAACAAACTTTCATTAGTTTGAAATGTAAAGCAGCAGATTACATGAAACGAGCCAAACACTCTGTGAGTCACTACAGTGAAAAGTCACGGTCAGAAACTAACACACCTCACTGGTCATCCACCCTACATCTACTTGGTCTCCTCAGTTGCATCCTGTACCCGTAAACTTAATCTGAATACCCAGGTTTAAGTTTTCTTTATGTGTGTCAAGTTCTAATCTGTAGCACTCGAGCCCTGTCCTTGACATTTTTGAGATGACGGGTGGGCGTGTCATTGGGGCCAGTGGCGGACAGTGTGTCAACATCTTTGCTCCGCTTGGGGGCGCTATCCTGTTTTCTTGTTTGCGTACCCCATTGTTTATCCCCATGGCAGCCCTGCACCGTCCACGTTCTGTCTTTCGTATGTAGTGTTTACTTCGTTTCTTTTGTTTGTATCCTTTTGTTTTGATATCCAATTTTATGTATTCATTGTAATTGTGTGTTTACGTACATTTGCCGAATAAAATATGTGAAAGTTAGTGACAGATCATCGCCACAAGTTTGATTTACTATTTTCTTACTTTTAGCAAATATCTTTGCTTTTTCTTAGCTTCCTTTTTGTCTCCCTTCTATGTGTATCCCTCACCCAGAAGCCAAGATGAGGTCTTGTGATCGGCGACTCTCATAAACAAAACCACCAGTTATTATTAGCTTTTTGGGATTACGGTGTCTGTACAGACTGAAGCACTTCGTCGTGGTGTCGCGTAAGAAAGGAAAACACATTAATTTGCTGTAGTGTTGTCTCAGTGTGATAATGTTTCTCATTCACCTTACAGTTTAAGCTAAATATGAAATAAGCAATGGGGTTTGTGATATTCAGTTTGTCGGGAAAGACTAAGAACAGTCTCAAAGTGCGTTTCTGGGGTCATCGATCGACCGTCCATAATAGGTACCTATCGATTATGGTCGGAAGCAGTTTTTATTAAAGAACTTTGGAAGCTGAAAATGTTTGTTACTCCAGACACCGGATACAAAAACAAACGCTGATGTAACGCACATGCAGGCACCAGATTTTTTCTCATTAATTTTGTATACGTGTTCAAAAATTTTGCACATGCAAAATGATCCAATATCAGGGTGAGAGAGCAGGTAGTGGTGGGCGCGTACTGCTCGACACCCTGGGGACGAGGCTGCAGTGCAGTGGCGTATTCAGAGGGGGGGGGGCACCTTGCCCCCCCCCGGCAGATTTTGTTTGACAATTGTTTTCAGTAAGTATGTCAATAAATGGGTAGAGAGTTCTGACATCAACCCCCAAAAAGGAAACCAGCTCAAAAACCATTACATTGCGCCGTGAAAATCGAGAGCGCCCCCATTTGGAAGATAGTACCAGCCCCCCACCCCCCCCCCCCGCTTTTTTATTTTACGGAGGCCAAGAGTCCGGAGAAAAAAACGTATCTACATTTCGGCGCGGATGTGCGGTTGCCCCCCCCCCCAACTCCGACATCAAAAGCTGGATACGCTACTGCTGCAGTGTCCCTTTAAAGCGTATCAAAAAGGTGTTTGCAAGAAAGCCAGTGCAATGTCCGATATTCTGTAAAGATAACCCTGAAATGTCGGCACACTGACTCACTCTTTTTGGATTGCAAGCCCCAAAACGTGCTCAATATCCGAGCACATCTAATCCGACAACCACTCCTGGAGATTAGCACACACCGCCAGGGATCTGTCATAGCCTTGATGACAGGCGGCAATTACTTGGCTCTACAGCCTATACGAGTCACTGACCATAATGCGCATGTGCAAGTCGTTCAACGGAATGGTTTTCCCTTCAAAGTAGATAATTCAGACCCCTGAATCGATTGGAGGGAACAAAGAAAAATGATACGAGTGGAACGTACACCATCCAGTATTGAAAACAAAACACCACCGTTATCAATTAGGCCACTTTTTCGGCCTCATTATGGTAATTGACTATATATGTACTTGATTACAGAAGAACATTTTGTTAATAGCCGGACGTCAATAATGTCACGACCGACCAATCAATCATTCCTTTATTACCATATCAGTACTCAATTCGACAACTTGTATTATCATAATCGACCTTATCACCGTTATAACTTATATCTATTATATATCGCAAAGGGTGAATTTTTTGTGAGTGTGTGCGTGTATTACATACAGCCAGAGGAGAACAAGGCAAAGCGAGCACAACAGATGCTTTGTTGTCCCCGAAAGCACATCGTTTTGGTTAAGAAAGGTCCTCGAAAGTCACAAGTATGCGTTCTTAGTATTATGGGAGTGCTCTATACAAAAAGTTAACAGTAACTATAACAAAAAAGTCATGTTTTGATATATCAACATAATTTAACAGAATATGTTTTATAGTTAATTTATATTGCAGTAATATATTCATGAAGTTGATTGATTTAAAAAAAAATCGTAGGACAATTAGGAAATAATCATCAGAAATCTAAACACCGTGTGGTCTTCAAACATACCAAATTAATAATGCATGACAGCCAACGTTGCAGATGCTTCCTTTTGGTCCACAGGAAACCGTATGAAATTGAATCAAATTCAAAAGAAATTAAAGATGTCTGCTATAATGATATGCAGAGTGTCTATATATAACTCTTTAATTTTCATCCATTTTCATTTTAGGTTTCAAGGTAATCTTTTAATTTAGGGGGATCAATTATTATGCACATGACATATAAAAAGGCATTTATATCTAAATTCAAAACCATTTAAAAATTTAAAACCACATCAGTTCAAAATTTTGACATGAAATTTGTTAATAATTCGAATAATATTGTGCAAATGTATTTCAAAACATATTACTTACTATTAAAGTTATTTACATTTTTTATGCTAACTTTGGCCGGGAACTCCTCCTGCCTTAAATGTGCGCTTAAGTGGCATATCAAATCATAACGACCTTCTGCCGGAAGCAAACTTTGCTTTACCTGCCCACGTCAATGGGACGTTAGCAGACTTGGTATTATTTTTGTTACATTAGTATTACACACTAACGTCCTTTTGTCGTGACAAAAAATGAAAAACCTCCTCCCGTCTTTTGTATTATGTTGATTACGTCAGAATGACGTAGCCACTTGTGGCAAAATGTATACCAAATGAAAGTAATTCCAATGCTCTATCGACTACTGAAAAATCCGATTTTGACATTTTGACCGATTTTTCATACTAACGACCTTTGTCCACACACCAGCACTCATTTGGCATAGAAATATTTGAAGCATACAATTTATGATGCCAAACAATTTTGGCTTCAGTTTGAAATCGTATTATATCGGGCAAAAATTGTACTCCAATAAGCAGGATTTAATGTGAGACGCGCACGTTGACCAATACCGGGAACTTTTGAAGAAGAAAAAGGCAATTTATACATTTTTTTCTATTTTGGGTGTTTTTGTCCAGCAATTTTCACAGTTTATACTAAGAATTTTTTGAAATGCGTTCATTTACAGGTATGCACCTAATGAATTAAAATGCCACCACTCACCCGAATTTAAGAAATCTAAAAAATTAGAATAGACGCCCTCGTCCTGTAAACTATTGTAAAACTCATTGCTAATTTTAAAAATGACATTGGATTGACGTATTATATGATTGAGACAGAATGATGTACAAAATCGCTGATATGATCATCCCAGTAATTTCGTTGTCAGCGGGCTACCCAACCTACCTATATTAAACACCAACTTTTTTTTTTAATAACTAGGCTATTATTATTTTTACGATTGTTATTTACAAAAGTGTTTCACCAACTGTCTTCCCTTGTTCTGTTTCGTCTAATTCAATCTCTTTGAAATCTGTTTTGACGATGCAGCGACAAAACAGTGCATAAAATCCCTGTCTGAACTCATCTAAGCGACCCCAGTAGATCAGTGGGTTGATCATAGCAGAAATGCAATACATCCAACCAGCAAACCAGTAAGCATCGAAGAAAATTGGGGATTCCAGATCTTTGGGTTCAGCAAATGCTATGACTCTGACGATGCTGTAAGGCATCCAACAGACGAAGCATGCCGCAAGGATTAGGACAAATGTGATCAACAACTTGCGGGTTTGACGGACTCGGGTCTTGGCCTGTATTGATTCTGCGCTAGCGGTGACGCCAGGGTTTGAGGCCATAGGGGGAGTATACATCTTGATCTTACGGAACACGACGATGTAAATTATCGCCGTGATTAGCCAAATAATGAAAACCGTCAAAGGTCGCACTAGCCCGTATATCCAAAACATTACTCCTGGAGATACAGTGAGCACGGGCAAAAGGTTCAGCAACAGAGAAACGGCCCAAATCAGGACACAAACTCCGAAAAGACGGCGTCCCGTGACCACTGCGTCGTAGCGAGATGGCGGCATGAGACTTAGTGCGAGGTAACGGTTTACAGCCACCGCGAAAATTGTCAAGATAGACACGATGTAACACGCCATCATGAGGGCAAAAACGGGAGAGTTCTCTGCCCAGGGAAACGATATCGCAAAGGCAGCAAAGCACAGATCTGCCAAAGCCAGATTATAAACGAATCCATAATATTTAATACGGAGTCGTTTGGTTCCAGCAAGAACTGCCAGTACCAGAATGTTCTCTAACACGGCTGCAACGGAAGTTATGGTCACAGCGTACCTCATCACTGTCACGAAGTTCTCAGACATGATTGCCAAGCGTCAGACAATTTGGCGAGGATCTCTGATGTGCAACTCAACTGAAATTAAAAAGTACAAACAGGCAGAAAACCCCATTAACATGAAACATCTCATTTACGAATCGTTTGGTACTTCACTGGGACTGACTGCATGCATACAATCAGTGGCAAAAAAAGAAAGAATGAACACACATGCGAAAAACGTTTGAAAATCGATGAAACTGAAATCTCGATTTACCTCTTACCACTGAATTCGATGAAACTGAATAAACTACACGACCGTTTGAAATTGAATGAGTCTCTTTAAGGAATGAAAGCTAATGTAGGGCATGCAGCTTTCAATTTCGAATGAATTTGAATACTGGTATTAAAATCGCGTGTCCATGTGCTCTTCAATAGATTCGGCTTTCAATTTTCAACTCATCTCACCCCCCCCCCCTTTGGACGTTTGCGACCCTATGAACTGTTTTGGGCACAAACACAACCACTTTGAGAGCATATACTGCTCCCGGTCCGTACATTATCGACGCTGATATGACCCTTGAAGATCAAAAACCTTGGCACTGTTATGGATAACAAATTGACTTGGAACCAAACACTCATACAATGTGCAGTAAAGCAAACATGCTTCACTTTTTACGTAAGCTCAGATCATTTTGTCTGTTCTCGTTTTTGTTCTGTTGAGGTCGAATAAATAATAATAATAACAATTTAATGTCTACCGGGATATCATGTTTTTGTTTTATCAAAGTGTCATTCAGGGAGTGATTACATCGTCATGCATTGTATAGTACAGTTGTCTTACTCACACAAATCGGAAGAAACTTCAGAGAATTACTAGGATGTAAATAATTGGCCTCAATGTTACAGAACTTCATGATATTTATGGAAAAGCTTTGCTAGCTAAACTTGAAGTGATCTGTGCAGACAAGACTCATCCGTTGAACTCGCTGATCATTTTCAGCAGATCAGGTAGAATTGTGCCATCACTAAAACGAACAAACCATCATAGATTATCGTTCTTACTAGTGCAATCCACCTTTGTAATGAAAGGCCTCCAAAGATAAGTTTTCAGTCCGCTTAATGGATTTTGGATGGGGGAGGGGAAATTGGGTTTGATTGAGTCCCTCAGTGATGTGAAATTATTTTCTATATCAGTCCATGAGTGAGCGATTTACCGTCATGTAACTGTATTTAACTTAAGCGTGTATGTTCGTATTTGTTTGTTGCTTTTCAAATTTTGTGTGTTTTATTTAATTCAATTTTTTTTTTAGCTCTCTCATGTTTACTGTTTTAAATATATACTTCAATGTATACTATATATATGTAACTTTTTACTGATTGCACATAGGAGATCATATCTTATGAAATGTTTTACATGACTAAGAAAATGAACTTTAATCTTGATCTTGAATCTGGATTGTTGGGCGGGAATCATCCCGCGAGAACGGAATTATTGTCAGTAATTGTACAGTTCAAATGCAATAACTTAGCACGAGCCGATTGTTTTCGTTCGATGGCTCATTCAAAAGTGAATAACTTTCCATTGCTAGGAAAAATATAGCAAATTAGAAAGGGATTTTATTTTGTTCTGGATGAAACTCGAAAACAGCACGGGGAACTCAACTTTCAAATGCGATGGTGTTACTTAAATTGACATAGTTTTTGTTGAAATAAGTTGACCGGGAAACCTATATCCCCCCCCCCCAAAAAAAACCCCCTACTATTGGCTCCCTAAAGACCCCAAATCCAAATTTCTACATACATTTCTAGAAGATAAGATCTTACAAATACAGATTAACAAAAGGAAATTATCCAAAAAAGGAAACTAGCCGTATCCTCTCTGAGTGATCCCCGTTTGCCATTTCCCAGGTGTGTATCGTAACTACGGGCGTGGTACGTCCCTGGCTGCATGGCATACGGGTTTATGGCTTCTGACCATAGCGCCCCTTTGAACAAAGATATTGACTAAATGGTGAACTGCCAACAAAGGGCTGGATAGCTCACTTGGTAGAGCACCGGAACGGTTATCTGGATGTCGCAGGTTCAAGTCCCGCTCCCGGACAATTTCTTTGTTCAACTTTTCAAAAAGGAAATTACCTTGTTTGCATAGTCTGTATAAAACAATGCCACGGACGAGAAACGCAATGACGGACAAGTATTTCAACTTACTATAAACTAACAGGACAATCTATTGTGGAATTTCAAGCGCTGTGTGTCCCCTTTTATGCATGGACGACTAAACTGCATACCCCAGGCTTGGGCCGGGGTCAAATGAATAGATGCACAAATAAGTATTGCGTGTATTCGCAAAGAAATTGCGATATTTCGCAAAAGCGCTGCGTATTTCACAAAATTATCTTAATTTGAAAACACATTGCGTTATTTTGCCAAACCAATGCGTTTTTCCGTATTAAAAACCTATTGCGTTTTTTGCGAAATTTCGCAAAACTAGTGCCTTATTTCGCAAAGGTTTTATTGCGTTATTTTGCAACAGTATTTCGTTAATTTACAACAGCAACTGTCGGGTTTACGTAGAAAAAAAATGTTCTTGGCAATTGAAATGTCAGTGGTCTACAACTGAGTACTTTCTCATTAATCGTCTTTTTGTCCCAGCAGTGGCGTATCGGGGAGTGAGGATACATGGAAGGTACACCTTGCCCGCTCGAGGCTTGTGCCCTTGTACATACGAAAGAGGACAGACACATGAAGGGAGAACAAAAAATACTTTTAGTTCTCCAGCGTTGGGTCTTTTGTTGAAAGCGGTCCTCTATCGTACGGTTATGTGCTTAGTCTATGGGAGAGTGTTATATTACAGGCACAAAGGGAAACACAAAGCATTGTCCTCGAGCGTATACAAATTCACGACTGTGTGTTCAAAAAATGGGGTTAGCAAAAGGAGCCATTTTTCATTAACCCCTCCCAATGCTAACTCTAACCATCTAACTCTAACCCTAACCCCTAACCCTAGCCCCAACCCTAAGGATTTGGGGGAACATCGGTATTGTAATGGGGAACATCGTTATAGACCCCTGCCTAAGCACGTCCCCAGTAAATTAGCTACCCCACCGGTTTCCAAAGGAAATACAGATTGGTAAAGACACTGCCAACTACTTCGATAGTTGGATTGATGAATTAGTAATTTAATTGTACTTACTTCAAAGGGTGATTTAGCGTTGGGATGAAGTGGACCTTCAAGATAAAGAAGCGTTCGATTCCACACAAATACAGGCTTATGAGTTTCTAATTCAAGACTGCTGCCTTGGATGAAGACAAAAGTAATGTGTCCGCGGTAGCCACCCATAATCCATCGATGAATACCTACAATATGTATGACAATGCTTGTAATGAAATTCCATCATTATCATGTTGCCATGTCAATAAAATTAATATTTCAATTAGAACAAGTACAGCATATGGGCGCATAATTCATGTTGCTTTACTCGAGACATGGAAAGCCTGGCCCTTGTGCTTTCTATCTGCAGCATAATTATACGGTTCCATTTTTACAGGTGTTTTTGCGCAACTACAAACTATTTATTCATCAAAACAACAAAACAATGATCCGATGCTTCATCCCCTTGTCAAAGAGAGGTTTGTGGCTCTTTGCACTCCAGGATTGCATGCACTGAGGGATGTCAGCTCTGAACCGATCTTTTAACTTAAATTTTTGAAAGAACAGGAAACAGAAACAAATTGGAAAATTCCGACCAATGTTATAGGCGAATGGGAAAAAAAGCAAAGTCGTGGGTATTATCTGGCCGTTTTTACGCAATACTTAAATTTGACATGGCGTCTCATGCACTTGTCGTGTCTTTATATGTTCCATTTTCAATAAGTCCCTTGTCGGTCATAAAGGGAACATAAATCCGAACCCCGAAGTACCGTGCGTTATGTATAGGCTGTCGCGTTGACAGTTCACTGCAGGGGCGTAAATCCCGGGGGGTGGGGGTATATATCCCCCCAGTTTTAGAGGGGGTGGGGGTGGGGATGGGCTATTGAATCATCCCCCCCCACTTTTTCGTGATGAAAAAAACAAAATGCGGATTTTGAGGTATTTTTCGAACATCCCAACAACCCAACTGTATTCAATAGCACTGAAAAGTGGAGAAACAAAGTACAAAAGCTTTTAAAATGCGCTGTTTTGGTGTAAGCGCGAGTATACATATTGATACACATCTATATCTTGAAGAGCGCCCCTATTGTATTGTGGTGTCCACCCCCCCCCCCCCTGCTTTTTGAATTTCCACGGCCGGGCAATTTTTGGATTTTGGTCATCCCCCCTCCCGCCGACACAGATTTACGCCATTGGTCCACTGTTTGATTCGAATACAAGGATTACCATTGCCTTTACAGTGCACACATCTTAGACAAGAGGGACTCTGAGCAGACTACATAGTAACTTTACTGACCCAATCTATTCAAATTTCAGCAGAAGACGTGGGTTGTGCAAACGTGGAGATTTCCTAAGCTGCATTGCATTTTTTAAGGGGGAAGTTTATTGAATAGACAGGCAGTAGCAGGTTGCATCTCTGCATCAGAACCAAGACTTGTTTAGGCTTTGCAGTCACTATTGAAAGCGGCTGCGGCGTATAGTGCTTTTCAGAAATCCATGCATGATTGTGCGAACTAACGCTCACGTTTTAAGATTGAAAAAAAAAACCTGGAAGATGGTCTTGCTTTTACGTGTAGTTTTTTTTAGTAGTCTACAGGACACTCTAAAATCTCATCAATCAATCATAACATCAAAGTAAAATAAAAGAAAGAAACTGGAATATCACGGCACTGCACTGTGCACGGAGAGAGTATTAGGTTTTGCCCTCGACTAGATTCAATTAAGCTAGAACTTTAGCGGAAGACGATTTTGTTTTTATTAGTAGTGGATCCTACATCCCTATCATTCCCATTGGGTTTGTACATAAACACACTTCATCTGATGACAATCTCCTCCAGAATAGAGAGAGAGAGAAAAAATAAATATTTCAATTTGCTGTAGGCGTGTAGATTTTCAGCTACGGTTAAGCCTAATATATACTCGGTTGTTGGATTAAAGAAATTAATTAACTGGTAAGGATTATGCGAAGGCAGCTTAATACATCACTTCGTTCCTACTGCAGACGAAATTGAGTAGGAATATCTAGGTTATCACTTACGTAGTTTCCCATGCCTGGGGTAAGTGAAGGGGACTAAATCGACATGTCCTCGAGCCTCGATCCCATCCATCTCATCACATCGCCTGAAGAATCAATTAGGATATGCGCTCTTAGATAAAGCCCCTTGCTATCCTTGTTCCCAGCGCTAGGGAGCTCCTTAGGTTTCCAGCTCGATAAATCTCGCGAGCCATTTGCGCCTTAAAACTTTCACCAGAGATCGGGTCATCGCATGGACTGAAATTAGGTCTGAACCCATCACAGACCATTTTTTTTCTACGATGCCATCTAACGTTCAGACGTGTTACTTTTCCATAGGCCTAATGGTGTTTCTTTGCAAACAAATTATTTGATATCTTAATCCTTGTCGTCCGTAGACTAGCAGGTTTTTCTTTATGGAATCGATCAGTTCTTGCCGGGTTTTCACGTCTCGAATTTCTACTGCGTGGCTTTTCATGTTACACCAGCGTTCTCGTATTTTTCAATTAAGGCCATCAGTTCAGGCAGGGAAGGGTGTTGAATTTGTGGGGGAAAAAATTGAGCAATCGCCAATATCTGTTTGTTATCTCTTGTTGATATTAGCGCAACTGGGGTCGACAATAAACAAAAAAAGGCCTTACCAAAACATTTCAAAGATTTCGGGAAGGTCGCCGTGGCTGTTTTGACTGAAAAACTTAGAATCATTATTAAATTATCAAAAATCTGAATTTTTGTTTGTTCACTTTTTACTTATTGAAATAGTTTGTTTGTGTTAATCATACATGAAGACAACTCATGATCTGCGCCAACGGAAAGAGCAACCTTTATTTACTATGAAATAATTAATTACAAATCATTAATCCTTTTTAAAGCTTAAAACTTATACAATGTACAGTTGGTCCAATACATAGGTTTTGATCATCCGACGATATTGTGTTGCATATAACTTAACATACGTAGACATGGTGGCACCAATATCGCTTTGAGTAAGCCCACAACATGCCTTTTGCCTTGCTCTTTGGCCTTACTATCAATCTTCAGACTGCTTGTAGGAAATAAAGGATTGCAGATATCACAAACGAGGTCAATCCTTAGGGATCAGGGGGTAATGGACTAGCAGATTATTAAATATATAGCCTTTCACGATGGACAAAGCATTATAATATCGGATACTTTTCAAAAGAAATGAACTTTCGATTCCTGAAATTGTATTACTTTAAATGTAAACCAGACTACTCGCAAGGCGAATCTGTTTATGTGCAAAACAACTCAAAATATAGAGCTGTGTTTTAGAGGGTTGGTGACGCTATTTTGAGCATGGGTGGGTAAGCACGTCTCTTTTGCGCGGGTCTTGAAAGGAGGAACATTCATGGGGCTAATGTACATGGGCGTCGCGAGGGGGGCAAGGGGGGGCGCTTGCCCCCCCTGGAAAAGCAAAAAAAAAAAAAAAGGAAGAAAAAGAAAAAAAAAAAAAGAAAGAAAAAGAGGCGCGAAGACAAAGTGGTGTAAATTTAATGAGTTGGGGGGGGGGCAAAATGTCCCTGCCCCCCTCTAAAACTGATAAATCGAGAATGTGTTGAGAAATACAAGCATTTTTTGGCAAAAAAACTTTTTGCCCCCCTCTAGAAAAAATCCTGGCGACGCCCATGCTAATGTACCTCTTGCCCCAACCCCCAACCCTCGCTACTTGTGGGTAAACGCCGCCGGAACTTGAATGACAGACAATGAGTTGTTTTTTTGGAAATTCGAGTAATTAATTTTTCCCGTTCAAAAACATTGGTGGTGCTGAACAGTAAACAACATACATCGGAATAAATTCACATTAATGAAACAGAATTGTTGGATTAAAATTGCTGTTATGCAGGATGGTCAATAAAAATCAGACCCATTTAATTTTGTTCGATGCCGGTGAGATTATCATATAATTAAACAGTATATGTAAAAAAAAAAAAAAAAAAAAAAAAAAAAGGCTTCGATATTGCCTATAGTCTCCCCTCAACTCTGTTATACTCATTGCAGGATGAAGAAGCCAAAATGGTATTCATATTTCTGAGGATATTATGTAGGCAGGCTTAATTGTACAGGTCCTAAGACCCGCATGTTCAACGTGTAATCTGCATTTTTGCTTTATGTGATGTCATGCATCATTTGGCAAATGTGGTATGCATATATTGTCTTTATTAGACTCTTGATTATACATTACGCTAATCCGATGCGGTTTGCGTAACATGATTTTTGTAACCTTATACATTATTTAGCAGTCTGCTATGCGAATATTTTATGTACCAGTTCGTTTATGATCATGTATACGAAATTGACTTTATTAAAAATGACAACAACTGTAACGATAACAATGCCTGTTATATCTGAGTTTTTGCGAATGGATTAATTTGTGCTATTTTTTCCTAAGATGTAAAACATTTTTGTTAAATCACGGTCCAGAGGTGCCCACAGTTACATATTGGTCACTTTATACATTTATGGTCCAAAGTGTGACATTTTTTTTGTCCCGATAATCTGTGATCTTTGTTATTGTCCATTTTCAATTATCATTAAATATAACTCAACTTCAATGTAGGCCTGTACGACTTGTGCAACTAGTCGACTAGTCGCCAATACTAAAAAGCATTGAGTATCAATTTCTAATTAGTCGACTATCTATCGCAACTAATATAGTCGCGACTGTTGAAATTCACTAGTTGCCCATTTTTTTGTATAGATAGTTTGCAATATTTAACCACTCTTGGAGAAAAGAGACAGAAAAATTCGGATTTTAAATCTGTAAAATGACCCATACATGTCTATATTTAAGCCAGCCTGCAAATAGGAAGCCCCAACCCTGGACATTTTCAAAGCTTATCTTAAAACCCATCTGCTCACTGCAAATGATATATAATGTTAGTGTTTTCCTCTGTTAATTGTTCAGCGCATTGGGACCCCGTGTAAAATGCGCTTTATAAGAATGGTTTATTATTATTAATAGTGTAATGCAGGCATAACGATCCCGTCACTCCAGGGCCCAATTTCATGGAGAAAATATCGCTCAACATTGTGTTGAGGGAAAAATTACAAAGAACGAAGCCACAAGCATTAAGTATGCTATGTGACACTCGCTTGCAGTTCCATGAAGTTAAGCAGGTCAACCATTATTGATTATTTTACGACAGAA